GATGAGGTATTGTTCATGGACAGGAGCAGCTATGTCCAGGAAGCAATCAGGTATGCTGGGGCAGCAGCAATAACTCTGGACTGTGTCATTTGGTCTCAGCCGTTAAGTAGGGAAACTTCAGCCCAATGGCCTGAACTCATAGCCCTAATCCAGGCTCTGCAATGGGGTAAGGAAAATCTGCTACAGACCAGAAAGCGAGGGAGGCAGTCCTAAAACCAGTGGGGCCTCTCCAGATACACGAGGTCAGAAAATGACCTGGCTGAACAGAGGCAAGCCACCCAAGAATCAGTGGTTGATGGACACTGCCTGATGGGAGGCTGTTAGTCACAGAGACTTTAGGTCGGACTTTAGTCAACCAGCTGCACCTACCCACGTAGGCTACTCCAAGCTTACTAAACTTCGGAGAGACAGGTTGTGTCCATTAAAGTCAGAGGGAAAGGGGGAAGGCAGAGAGAAGCAGGAATGTGTGGGTCTGAGCAGGGAGGAAGAGAAGGAAATCTGGGCCGTGTGCAGACAGCAGGTGGACGGAGCAAGCTCTCAGGTTCATGTCAGGGAGAGGACTAGGAAAGTCGCAGAGGGTCTATGCAAGTTAAGAAAGATTTAGACAGGACCTTAAAGGAAACCTTAACCAAATTTACTTTAGAAACTGGTGAAAACTGGCCCACTCTGCTCCCCCTCGCCCTCTTACAGTTCTTGCAGGCCCTGCAGTTCACCCAGAAAGCTCTCCATAAACTCATCTGCGATATCCTGCCTGTGCCCACCTCAGACCCCGTGCACCCTTTCCAGCCCAGGGACTCAATATGGTTCTCTGAGGACTCTGGCGAATGGTGTCCTCTATGCAGAAGACTGAAAAAGACACTCCTGACCACCGCAGCAGTGGCGACCCCACAATTTCAACAAAACAAAAAGAGGGGAGATGTGGGGTTGGGGGGTTGGAAGATGGACCTTTTGCAACCTTGTGTTAAGCACTCTCATCTGACCCGGGGTGAGAAACCTGGCCCGCCCAGGTGTATTGGGTGCTTCATTTGCATGTGAATAAGGGTTTGTGATTTTTGGCTTCAAGGAAATAATTTTAACCTGGGGGTACCAATCTGCAAATAAAAGGGACTGCGTCCAGAGATCTGGAACATTTGCTCTCTTGCAAAGCTCCCTCTCACTCCCACCAGCATGTGGTTGTAGGTTCATTGCATTGCACCGATCCCAGCAGGCCAAGAGTCGGCACCACAAGCATAGCTCTGACAAGTGTGGATGAGGTTGGGAGATTGGAACCTCACACACTGTTGTCAGGGATGTAAAGTGGTGTAGTCACTTTAGAAAACTGTTGGCAGGTCCTCAAAATGTTAAACATAAAGTTGTCATATGACCCAGAGATTCTACTGCTCGGTATCTAACCTAAGAGAAATAAACACATCTGTCCAAAGACTCATACAAATTTCACAGTAGCGTTGTTCAAAAAGACTAAAGAGTAGAAACAACTAAAATGCCCATTGATGGGTGAGTGGATAAACAAACATGGGTGTATCCATACTATGAAATTATTCAGCAATAAAAATGAATAAATATTGATACTACAACAAAGAATGGACCTTGCAAACATTATTCTAAGAGGAGGAAGTCAGATGCAGATGATCACATATTACTTGTCATTAATATATAAAATTATGTGAAAAGCCCAGGAAAGGTAGTTACAGAGACAGAAAGTGGCGACCTGAGATGGTGGACAGGGGGACAGAGATGGGAACAGGAGTGGCTGAAAATGGGCACTAGATAATTTGGGGGGCTGATGGGAAAGTTCTAAAAAATATATATTTTATCCTCACCAGAGGACATTTTTGCATTTATCTTCAGATGGAGCAGGAAGGAGAAAGGAAGAGAGAGAAACATCGATGTGAGAGAGACACATTGACTGGTTGCCACCCACATGACCCCAACAGGGGCTGGGGACAAACTGTAACCGAAGTATGTGCCCTTAGCGGGAACCGAACCCAGGACTCTCTGGTCTGTGGGCCAGCGCTCTAACTGCTTAGCCAAACTGGCCAGGGCTAAATATATATTTATTTATTTATTTATTTATTTATTTATTTATTTATTTATTTTTAGAGAGAAATATTGACGTGAGAAAGAAATATTGATTGGCTGACCCCTGCACAATCCCCACTGTGGATCGACCCTAAAACCCAGACATGTGCCCTGATGGGGAATCGAACCAGGACCTCTCAGTCCATGGACGACGCTCAATCCACTAAGCCACACCATTAGGGCAAAGTTCTAAGATTTATTACACATATCTGTAAATTGACTAAAAATAATTGACTAGTATAAGTAAAATAAGTGAAGGTTATGGTATATAAATATATATTTTTCCTTTATTGATTTCAGAGAGAGGAAGGGAGAGGAAGAGAGATAGATACACTGATGACAGAGAACATCGGTTGGTTGCCTCCTGCATGCCCCCCACTGGGGATTTGGCCTACAACCTGGGCATGTGCCCGACCAGGAATCGAACTGGTGACCTGTTGGTGCCTGGGTCAATGCTCAACCACTGAGCCACACCAGCCAGGCAATACATAAATAATATTAAAGCTATTAAAAAAAAGTGCCTGCCCTGGCCAGTTGGCTCTGGCCGGTTGCTCAGTGGTTAGAGCGTCGGCCCATGGACCAATGACTTGTGGGTTCGATTCTGGTCAAGGGCACATACCTTGGTTGCGTTTCATCCCTGGCCCTGGTGGGGGTCGTGTGGGAGGCAACCAATTGATGGGTCCCTCTCACGTCGATGTTTCTCTCTCTTTCCCTCTCCCTCTGCCCCACTCTATCTGAAGATAAATGGAAAAGTATCCTCGGGTGAGGATTAAAAGAAAAAGTCCATCTGTAACAGATCATTGGCCTAAGCTAAAGGAAGAGAGAAACCAGGCATGTCCGGTGCAGGGCTCGGTAAAGACGGACTTGAAGTTCTGCCTGTAATTCTGCATGAGGCTTTTGCCCCACTCTTGCCATGGGTGAGACCTGCCCAGCCAAAGGACAGCAGAGCCTGGGGTGCTGCCACTTCGCAGAAGTCTCTCTCTGTCCTCTTCCTCTCTCCGTCAGAGTGTCCCCCTTCCTCAGCCCCTGTCATCCCTCTGTCCCCCAACACGGTCCACTGACTTCCGGAGGGCCTTCCCCTGGGCTGGGTCCGTCCCTTGGCGCACTGGTGCCCTGGACTTTCACACACGGGCTATACCCCCTTCATGTCCCTAAGGCTACCCCTTCACCTGGCTCATTCTGGCAGGTGTCCTTCCCAGCTCCTGCTCCTTACCACGGGCCTTAAAATATCGGTTGAATGCACACACTGATGAATGGATGCGGGGAACCTGAGAATGGGGACTAGTTTCCCAGGTTTCTCAAAAGACCGGAACGCCTTCAAGTTTGCATCCAGTCTCCTCATGGGCCGGACCTCACTGGGACCAATGGCAGAGTCCCTGGTCCTCTGAGGTTCCCGGAGCAGCTAAAACTCTGGTCTGTGCAGCCTGAGGCCGACCAAGACATCATGACACCCTGGGCTCCACGGAGGCTTGGGGAGATGTGTTCCCAACCTTGAGTGACCCACTGATCCACAGGACGACTGTTTCCATGGGTCAGAGCTATCCAGCCGCGCACCTTATGTGGCAGCGCCAACTGCACAAAAGTTGTTTATGTGATTTGAGAACAACCAAAAGATGAACAAGAGACCGAGGAAGGGGGATGGGGAGGACCCTGACAGGTGCAGGGGCAGGTCTTCGGTCAGACTGACCTGCATTCTAGGTTCCATTCTGCCCCTCCCCACCCAACCTAAAGCTTTAGGACAGTTCTTAAATCTTGATAAACCAGTCTTCCAGGGGACTGTGTCAGCCAGGCCTTCCTCCTTTTTTTTTTTTTTTTTTTTTTAATCCTCACCTGAGGACATTTTTCTATTTTTTGTTCAGATAGAATAGGAGGGAGAGAGAGAGACATCGACGTGAAAGGGACACATCGAGTGGCTGCCACCCGCACGACCAACCAGGGCCGGGGACAAACTGCAACTGAGGTACACGCCCTTAGCGGGAACCGAACCCAGGTCTCTGCGGACCGCAGGCCGACGCTCTAACCGCTGAGCCAAACCGGCCAGGGCGAGCCAGGCTTTCCTGAAGGGCCAGTGACGTCCAGCCAGTCCTGGCTTACAGTCGACACTGGCACATAGCACCTATCATCGAGGGCAGGGGCATGACTCGGCACGGTCCATACGCTCTCTGAGCATTTCCCACTCCCTCCTCTGGCCTGCAGGGCAGCCCGCCCGCCTGGCCCTTCCCCCACTTCTCCCCCAAACCCAGGTGAGGTCTCTGCTTTATTTTATGCTCTCCTGAACCCAACCCGAAAGTTGCATCCCCAAATGTGTCTACACAAACTGCTCCAGATGAAGGGACTGTTTGTCCCCTGTGGCCACTTCAGTCCTGGTTCTCCGCCTCCTTCCCCAGCCCTGCAGCTGCCGGTGCCCACGCCACGCGTGTTCTGCTTTGCAGACACAGTTCCCAGGCGCACTCAGCCCACCGCGCTCCCCGAGGCACCTCCGCTTGTCCAGCCTGGAACTCTCCCAGGTGACAGCAGGTGCGCAGGTGCCCGGTGACCAAGGCAAAGGGGAGGGACTGGGCTGGCGCTATGAGAGCCTGCCAGGCGGTCAGCCTCCGGAACCCCAGTTCAGGGAAGGCCAGTGTGCGTCGGGGAGGGCGTGGGAGAGTCCTGGAGACAGAGATGGTCCGCAGGGCCACCGGACCTAACCGGCACCGGGGGTGCAGAGGCGAGCCCCCACCTGCCATGCCTGCTGGGTCCCGGGCACCGAGGGTCTCAGGGGTCTCCAGACCTCCGATTCGCACAGCTCCATGGGTGGGGAGAGGAAGGGGGCACTCCAGACCCGCTGCCCTGGGCGCCCATGTCGCTCAGCAATCGGGGGTGCTGGGTCCCCCCCCCCCCGCCCCCGCCACAACTCTTCCCGCCTTGGGGCCGCCACTCACCAGCCTGCACCCGCAGCAGCTCAGCCATCGCTCCGTGTCCCGCAGCGGCCGCCTGAGTCCCCTCCGCGGTGCCTGTGCGCTGGCCCAACGAGACCTTCCTCAAGAGGCCCCCGGGGTGAGGAGATCTGAGGCCCCCAAGAGGGCCACCCGTGGCCCAGTCCCCTTGAGGCTGGGATTCCCCGACGCCAGACCGGGGGAGGTGACGGGGGACTCAGGCCAATGCTGGGCCTGGGGCAGGAAAGTCGGGACCTCTAGGCCCTGTCCGGTTTGGCTCAGCAGTTAGAGCCCCGGGCCGCGGACCAGAGAGACCCGGGTGCGGTTCGCTAAGGCACTGTACCTCGTTTGCAGTTTGTCCCGGTGGGGATTGGGGTTGTGCGGGTGGCAGCCAGTGTCTCTCTCACATGGATGTTTCTCTTTCTCTCTCCTACCCTCTCCCTCCCGCTCTATCTGCAGATGAATGCAAACATGTCCTGGGGTGAGGATACAAAAAAGGAAAATCGGGATCCCCAGGAACTCGGGCCAGGTGGAGGGGCGGGGCCTCCTCAATAGGCTGGGTGAGATCCCTGGCCTCTCCCCGCCGTCCTCCAGGCCCTTCCCCCAACACCCGGTGCCCAGATGTCCGGCCTCACCCACCACCCGGAAGCAGTCACAGGCCCCCAAGTTTCCGAAGACCCGACCCAGACGCGCAGACCACCCGCTGTGCGCCCCTGGAGCCTCGGACCCACTGGGCTGCAGTTCCTTTGCAGAGCCGCGCCCCGAGCTGGCTCCACTGCCCCACTGAGCTTCCCTTCCCGAAGGGCTCGGACCCTGCCGAGGTGGAGTCCCCGTTCCGTCGCCGGCCTGGGACCCCTTCGCTGTCCTGGGACCCTGTTGAGCGCCTGCTCCCAGCCCTCAGGGCTGCGCCCGGCTTGCGCGGCGTCTGTCCGTCCGAGGAGTCCGGGAGGCGGCGGGCGCCCAGGCAGAGGACGCGCTGTTCCCGCCGGCCCCTGGGGGGAGGTCGGGAGGAAGGGGCTCGGGGAGGGTGGGCAGGATAACCACTCCTCTCCAGCTAGTAGGCACCAGGCGCCTTTCCAGGGCTTCTTTGTACTCCTGGGCATTTCTAGGAAGTGCTACAGTGACCCCCACCCCTTTTCCAGGTGAGGAAACTGAGGCAGGGCAGGGGGAGCCGTCTTGGCGGTGAAGTCAGGTGTCTTGTTCAAGCCTTGAATTCATAGCCCTAGTCCTCTGGCTCTATTCACTTTCCTCATCAGAAAGTCCCCCCCTGCTCTCAGGGAGCACAGGTGTCCACCAGGAGCCTGGTCTCCTGAGCCCGATGCCCCTCCATCTGTCCCGGCCCCTCCCGTCTCTCCTGCTCCTGGGTCAGGGTTCTGGCTGAGAACCAGGTCCCCCCAACCAGAGTGTCTTTCCCCCCTCCCCAACTCGGTCCTCTTATCCTGAGGAAGAGAGAACTGGCCCACCTGAGGAGCAGTTTGATCTTGTTAGGGGTCTCCCAACTCTTCCGGGAGCATGTTACCCCGGCTGGCCTCCCGAGAAACCAGCTGGACACGCCGAGGGGAGGGTGTTCCTCGCGCCCCGCGGTTCTTGCCCCAGGGCCTCCGCTCTACTGAATGAACCACAAGAACCTTTTCTAGCTCCGTGGGACGCCAGGCATTGTCTTAGGTGCTTTTCCCGTTGGCCATCCTTCACCTTCACCTGAACCCTGCCTTTAAAAGGGAACCCAAGCACAGAGTGAGCAGCAGAGCCAGGATTTAGACCCAGGAGATCCAGGCTAGAGGTGCCCTCTTCCCCACATGACCCAGCAGCTGCTGGAGCTCCTGACCCAATTCTCGTCCGATCTCATGGCTCGTGAAAAAGCTGCGTTAAGTCTTCGGCTGCTCTCCCTCAGCCCCAGTTCCGCGTCCCGTGCGGGGCGGGCCTCGGGGGCAGCTTCTGTTCGGGTGCACGGAGAACTGGGAAGGGTCTGAGCAGAGACAAAGGACTCTACTCCCTGCAAGGCGCAAGGCACACGCTGCTTGTTCCCGTGGGGCCCCTGTGCCCTGGAACTCCAGGGACCTCGCTCGGGCCCTTGGGCTGACCAGTCTGAGGGTCGTGGGGTTGAGATCCTATGTGCCAGCGTGTCAGGCCGTTGTGTGTGTTGTTCTGCCGACAGCATCACAATGTGCCTGCCAGGGGTCATTTCCAATAAATGCCGTGGGAAGAATGAGTGGGTGAGTGCCAACCCAACAGAATCCCCTTCACCTGTCTCTCCCATCCACATGCCAGAGGCCTGGGCATGTTCCCAGGAGACTGGATGCCCCTGCCTGGTGACAGAGTGGCCACCAATCCAACCTCCTTCTTCTCCTCCCCCATCCTCTTCCCCAAAGTTGGGCAGTCAGTGTGTGTGTGTGTGTGTGTGTGTGTGTGCGTGCCTGTGTCCGCTTGGATGCCCAAGGGTCCCATATGGGAGAGGGAAGGGGTCCTCCAGTATTTGAGGGGCTCTCATTTCCAGAGCAAACTCCATGGGAGGATTAAGCCTGGCTTAAAAGACCAGAACCCTCCCTGCTCTCCTGGACTTGGTTTCCCAGTTGTACCACGAAGTGTTGGACAACGAGCTGCAGCCCTGGTTCTACCCCTGGGTGCGTGTGGTGGGGACACATTCAGAGGTGCATGGGCCTCCCTCCTGCACCCCTGAAGGGGCAGCGGGGCCTTGTGTCCACAGCCAGGCACACACATGGGACACGTGCAGCTGGACAACTCGTGCACGTGACCCCACCTGCCTCTCCTACCGCCCCGACGTGCAACACCAGTGGCTCCCCATGCAGCTGGTCCGGGTGGTCTCCCTGTGCCCCCAGCTGCTCTGTGACTCCCACATTCCCCTGAGCCTTGGGACCACCCGCACCCCAGCCAGGCTGGCCACAAGCTAAGCATGGAGACCTGGAGACAAGAGAGTCACGGAATATACCCTACCTTGCTGTCCTGGCCCCAGACTGTCTCAGAGTCCAGCTCAGTTAATGGCTGGGTCAGGGGGACCTGGAGGCCTCAGTGACCCCTGAGTCTGGGCAGGGAGAAGGTCAGGGTGCCCCTCCCCCCTTTTCAGTGACATAGAAGCAAGGTGATTTTTTCAATGTGATAGTGGATGTTTATGAGAGACACATCTCTGCCATACTCCGTGGAGAAAGCGTTCCCCTAAGATCAGGAGCCAGACCGGGAGGCCGCCTCCTACCACTTCATTCCAACACTGCAAAGGACGTTTGGTAAGAACAAGTGGGCAAGACATAAATCCATAAAATAGAATTGAGAATCAAGAGATAAATCCATACAACTGATTTTGAACTGGGAGATCAAGATCCTTTAAGAAGGCAAAAACAGTCTTCGAACAAATGTGCTGGGAAACTGGATGTCCGCATGCGAAAGAGTGACATTGGAGCCTCAGCTGACACCACATACAGAAATGAACTCCCCGCGGACCAGGGACCTACAGGTAAGAGCTAAAACAAAGCAATCTAGAAGAAAACAGGGCTGAACCGCAGGCCCTTGGACTCAGCAGTCGTATAGTTAATCTGACACCTATCATTCAAGGGACAAGAGGAAAAACGGATAAGTTGGACCTCATCGAAATTAAAACTTTTGTGCATGAAAGGACTATCTCAAAAGAATATAAAGTAGGCCCCCAAATAGGTAGAAAAATTGAAAATCATAAAAGCTGAGAAGGATCTTTTATCCATAATATGTAAAGAACAACACAAGAAACAAATACAAACCACCCAATTAAAAGTAATAGACAAGCCCTGGCCGGTTTGGCTCAGCGGTTAGAGCGTCGGCCTGCGGTCCTGAGAGACCCGGGTTCGGTTCCTGCTAAGGACACGTACCTCGGTTGCAGTTTGTCCCCGGCCCTGGTCGGTTGTGGGGGTGGCAGACACTCAGTGTGTTCCTTTCACGTCGATGTTTCTCTCTCTCTCTCTCTCTTCCTCTCTCTCCCTCCCACTCTACCTGAATAAAAAAATGGAAAAACATCCTCAGGTGAGGATAAAAAAAAAAAAAAGTAATAGACAAGCTCGGCCTCTGTGGTTCAATGGATGGAGCATCGTTCCATGGACTGACAGGCACGTGCTGTGGTTGCGGCTTGATCCCTGGTAAGGGGAGTGCAGGAGGCTGCCAATCGACACACCCACTACGGTGACTATAACTAACTGAACAAGCAGAAAATGACAGATGTTGGAGGGGATTTGGAGAAATCAGAACCCTACATTGTTAGGGGGAATGTAAGTCGGTGCAGCCACTGTGGCGGAGGGTGTGGCAAGCCCTCAGAAAGTTAGGCAGAGTGTCATCATTTGACCTGATGGTGCCTCTCCTCATTCTACAACCCAAAGAACTGAGTACGAACATCAAAACCAATGTATCTGTTTCACCCCCAGAATATTGAAACATAAGTATTCACTGGGCCACTATTCTCAGGCGTCTAAGGATGGAAACCACCCAAATGCCATCAACAGTTGCATGGATAAACAAATGTGGCATAGTCACACAATGGAATATATTCAGTCATCAGAGGAATGAGGTATTGATGCATACTACACTGTGGAAGAGCCTGGAAGACATTCTACTAAATCAGGGGTGGGGAGATCAATACCCGCTAACATCACACGCCTCACCAAATTAGCCTGAGCAAGCACAGCAGGCTAATTTCGAAGTTGATCATTTTGTATGGCCCTCGAATGATGTTAGAACTATCCAAATGGTCCTCGGCAGAAGAAAGGTTCCCCACCTGTTCGGAATGGAAGAAAAGACACCAGAGGCCGCTTATTGTAGGATTCCAGTGTATAAAACTTCACAATAGGTAAATGAATAGAGGCCAGGGCTGCATTAGTGGCTGCCGGAAGTAAGGGGGGGTGGGGAACAGGGACTGGCTGCCTACACGCAGGGGTTTCTGTTTGGGGAGATGGAAATGTCTGCATCTAGCTACTGGTGATGCACAGCATAGTAGACGTAGTGCGTGCCACTGAACTGTTCAACGGAAGATGTCTAAAAGATGATTTTTATTTTATATGAAATCTACACCATAAACTACAGGTAGCCCTCAAGCATGGAAAAGGAAAACAGGAAGAGGCCGCTGCACCGGTGAGCGCGGGAAGAAGGCTCCTGCTCGGTGGAACCTCGGAACCTGGCGAGCAGGCACTGGGCGGGGCTCACGCAGCGCGGGACCTGGTGTAACCGACCAGGCTCTGGTTCTGGAGCTGCTGCTGACATGGTCGGTGCCAGAGCTGGCTCCCGGCCA